TAGGTAACTGTCCAATTATTTTCTTAATTGGACAGGTCTTGTTGATATGGGATTAATTAGGCACCTATATAATTAATAGGTAATGGGATTTCATGCTCCCCAATCAAGAAATAATTAGACTCGAAAAATTCCTCAGACTACCAAATTGGACTCGACCTACGGCCTCATCCAATTTTGTCAGTCCTTGGAATTTTCCTCGTCCAATTATTTCTTAATTGGACAGCATGGAGTCCTATTACTACTAATAATAAAAATAAAAATAACAAAAATTGGGCATTAAATAATAATTGAATTGAGATTTCGTTTTTGAATATCCAGAGAAAAAATTGTAAACATATTTACAGTACAACAGATATTAAATTTGAAATTTCCAATCGCTCAGCTTTATAACGAAGCGCATCAAATGATTTAGAATTGATAATGGATTGTATTATACCAGATCGAAAACAATATGCTTTTTTTTTTTTTTTTTTTTTTTTTTTTTCGGGAATCCTGTGGATTACCGAAAGAAAGGTTACACAGCTCCACAACTGCGAAGCCTTATCAAAAAAGGTCAATCAATTTGATTGAGTTGTACAAATTCAAAATTCAAATTCAATTTGCTTATTATACGTAAGAAAATGTTTATTGCAATAGTTATTAGAAGTCTGGGCTTCCTTCAGAATTTGCCTCCGCGTACATTACTAAGACTGGGAACAAGTAAGAGATTATTGGATGTCAGTGAAGGTTCTGAGTTGCGTAAGATCTGGAAGCTTATTTATACGCTTCATACATATTTTTTACCATGGTATTCCGACGAAGTTTCTTTACGTGGGCTTCCTCTGGGATTCATTTCCAAGTAGAATTTTAGTCTGGTAACGAGTTACGTGATAGGAAACAGAATGTTAAAATGCAAGGTCTTGGGCTTCCCTTGACAATGTGCGCGTAGATTTTCAGACTGGGGACGAATCACGTGAGAGGTCTGAAATTGAGTCCGAGCTTGCTAGATTTCGTTGTTTTTCTCGAACGTTCCAATGGAAACACTCGGCCAAACTTTTGAACCAATCAAATGTTTGGTTTTCAGAGTTCACAGATGGTAGTGGGTAGATTGATGTAGTCACGCACAGACTAAAAAAATGCACAGAAATTTATAGTCAGCTTCCTTTCTAACTATAATATGATATTCTCTACTTTCGCATGCCACACAATGCTTTGCGCCTTGGGGTAACTAATCAAAACAGTCCCAAAATGAAACGTTCTTCAATGGAATGTACACTGTAAGCGGTATGTTTAACATGCGCATGCGTACTTACGCATCTCCTACGTGTAGTTCTTGTCGGTTCCGTCCGTCAAAAGAAACACAAGCAGAATGTCTGCTGTCTTTATTGACCACAACCTAAAACGATGATTATAAAATCAGCACCGAAATAGCGTATTGTTGAGTACGATGGTGTTGCTCTATTCCTTTTGCTAAGTCGGGTTGGCTAAATTACATGAGCATCGGACTGTTRAGCAGGAGGTCGTGGGTCTTGGGAGGTCATGGGTCGTCTTAAAATAACTGAGGAGAAAGTGCTGCCTTTGTAATTACATATACGAATGGTTAGGCTTTCAAGTGACTTGGATGACCACTTTAATTGGGGGTCCCATCTCTCAACACTTTGAGCCGGGAAATGAGGATGAGAGAAGACGCACATGGGCGAAGAAATACACCGTAATGACCGCTKTGTTGTAGTTAAATCCAAATTTAAACACTCCTTACCATCATTYAAATTTTCTTTGTCCTTCCCCCAAATTCTTAAAGCTACTCCTCTCAAAACCAGGATCAACTAAACAAGTCCTCTTTAGTTAGGATGTAATGTTTTTCCATTTCAGACCAAGTGTCATTTGCTTCAAAATAAGATTCTTTATTTAACCATCTGTAACCACTATTTGTAATTATTTGTATTATTTGTTATGTGTACTCATGATTTATGTTTGTTAATAAATAAAATAATATTTAAAAAAAAGATTCTTTATTTAAGTTGCAACCATATTCATGTGTCTTCTCTTGCGCAACCGTTTAACAAAGAAATGATACTCTAGGGAATGACACGTGGTCTAAAATGGGAAAACATAACGCCCAAGCCAATAAGGTCTATAGGGATTAACTAACCAAGATCTCRACTCCTGCTGGAAGAATGATGGGCCTGAATGAGAGAGAATGCGGACAGATTGGCGTGATAAGCATGGCGGGAACACTAGGATGAACCATGGACGCACCAGCTGCAAGAGCATAGGCCGTGCTTCCAGTTGGCGATGAAATGATGACGCCTAGAAATGTAACGCAACACTTTATTATTGTATTGTAACGCAATGAACGTGATAGAGATAAAACACTTTAGTATGTGAGAATTCAAGGTGTTTATGGGTTGTAGGAAACCAGAGAATACACTCGAAGTATATCTTACTTACCATCCCCTTGTACAGATGTGATGTGGCGATCGTTGCAATAGATGTCCAAATTACACAGGTATGATGAGGGCCCTCTGTCTATTACGACTTCATTTAGTACCTGGAAGAAAAGATGAAGAAAGGATATAATAAAGAAAGAAAATAAAAAGGAAAGATGGAATGAAGCAAGGAAGCAAGGAAGCAAGGAAGCAAGGAAGCAAGGAAGCAAGCAAGCAGGGAAGGAAGGGAATAGCAGACAACTAATTATAAGAATACCTTAAAAACTACCACCAACCTCATTTTTTGTACTTTTGTCTAAATCTTCCATGTCTTCTTCTTTCTCTCTCAACATTCTCTCTGCCTCGCCAAGTTGAACCGTCAAATTTTCAACTTGCTTAGTCTGCCTTGCAATAGTGTCATCTGAGGTCTTTAGCCTTTCTCTTGAACTTTTGATTTCATCTGTTAATGTTGTGACCTGGATTTGTAGCCTGAAGAACAACGAGAGATCGTGAATAACTTTGACAGTAATGTTCAATTGGCATTGCAAATCGCTGCATCCATGTTCCATACAATGAAGGATTAAAAGCCCTCTTTGAACGAGTAACAGCTCAAAAGCTGCATCATTTTGAAACTTAAAGTGATAAGACTCTCTTATCTTTCATTCTCATGTTCTGTATTCTAAGTATTCTAAAATACTTGTAACTCATGCTTTTTTCCTCTGTAATTGACGTCTTCAGCTTGGGGTAATGTTGTCCCATTTCAGACCACGTGTCATTCTCTTGAGAATAAGATTCTTTGTTTGAGNAATGCTGAAAAGGAGAAGCGAAGAAAAGGAATAATGGGAGGGAGAGAGAAAGAGTTTAGTAATTTTTTTTTTATGGCTACTCGTGTTGCATCTATCAGGAATATTTTACCGTAAAAGTGTGCTGTTTTTTCTTGCCATCTTCTGCAGATTCGACGGAAGTGATACCTTTCAGTCTACTTCTGAGAGTCAACGGTGTAAGACCTAAATATGACATGGAGTCACATGAGAGAATCAGATATAGCTACATATGATACTGAGCGATTCCATTAAATTTTATCGATACCCTGAAACAACCTCTGGGCTGATCAAAGTCAGGGCAAGGCTAACTCACAGATCGAACCCTGAAACAACCTCTGGCCTGATCTACGTCGGGTCAGGGCTAACTCACAGATCGAACCCTGAAAMAACTTCTGGGCTGATCTAAGTCAGGGCATGGCTAACTCACAGATCGAACCCTGAAACAACTTCTGGGCTGATCAAACTCAGGGAAAGGCTAACTCACAGATCGAACCCTAAAACAACCTTTGTGCTGATCAAAGTCAGAGCATGGCTAACTCACAGGTAGAATTGAAGTTAAGCATTTTGGTTTTGTGCAGAGTTAAAGTCGTGTTGCACAGGCTAGATTTTGCAAAGGAAAGAAAACCAGAGAAACTGGAGAAAACCTGATATTAGAAAACCTAATATGTTGATAGAACAATAAAATATATTGCCTGCCTAGCGGCCGATAACACAATAAGACTCACCATTTAGAACTCTAGTAATCTCTTTTCTAAAATTTTCAAATCTGAACGACGTAAGAAATCCTAGTGAACCAAGATGAAAGGCCATTACAGGTGGACAGCTCCGCTGGAAGAAAGACAGATTCACATTCATAAACTATTCTCAGTAAATAATAAATTAGCACGGAGCAGTATAAATTAACTTCACACACGTCTTGTTGGACTTAGTGCATAACGTTGTTGGGAGCTTTGGAAGCCCCATTTTTAGCCCCCCCCCCCCCTCCCTTTCCTTGCCCCTCCCTAGATCTCGTGGTGTTGTTCATGTCATGTTTACTTCATTATCACAACACTTGTGGATCTTGCCCCATAACTTGAGAGTATGAGTATTCAGTGAGGATATATTATTTACTGCTTACACCGTTTTATTAGAAGTTTTAGACAGGGAATAAGGGTGGGATGGAGTGGGGATAGAAACCTCCCCACCCCACCCCCTCCCACCCCCTCTTTTTGATAACCTTGAAAACCTATGACACCATCTAACCAGTACTCCTAAATTTTTAACCTCCTTTAAAGAACTAAAGAAATCATATTCAAAGGAATATTCAAAAATCTTTGGTGTACCTGGAAGAGAGCAGAAGCATGAAGTAGTGTTCCATCACCTCCCAAACAGATGATCAAGTCAATTTTATTTTCTAGTTGTTCCTCTAAAACGAAAAATAAGATTAAATTTTAATTTGTTTGATATAAGAGAGAAAAATATATGCCAAGTTAACATAAGTATGGAATTTCTGAAGAGTGGGGGGGTCAGAGAAAGAACAAAAATTAYAGAGTTTGTATGGAAGAAAATTGGAATTTCTGGGGGGTAGGGGGGTGTCTTAAAAAACTTCCTCCTTGAGGGGGGTATGGATAATGTTTGGAACTACACAATGGCAGAATACTGTATAATTTAGTCCACTGATCCCCTTAGTACCTTCTTTAAATGTAACAAGCTTCTTTCTTAKTGTTGCAAAGGTGTCATCAGCAGTGATGCATGGTTCATTGGGTAGTGTTTCTTCAACAAATACAGTCATGTTTTTCTCCTGGAGTAAAGGGAACAAAATCTTAAATTTAACACATGCCGATTACCAAGGGATTGTTTCAAGGTTCAATTCGTGAGATACTGCCATGCTCTGATTTGTATCAGCCCAGATGTTGTTTGAGGGTTCTATCTGTAAGTTACTTGTGCCCTTACTAAGAGATCAGCCCAGAAGGGCTAATCTCTTGGTAAGGGCACAAGTAAAAGCCTTCAGGGTTTGAACTGTGGGTAAGCAGTGTGTAGTCACTTATAYCAACCCAGAGTGGTTGTTTCAGGGCTTGATCTGTGAGTTAGCAGTGCCATATGACTTACATTAACTCAGCGATTGTTTCAGGGCTCAATCTGTGAGTATAAGCTGTATCCTAGCTGACTTTAATCAGCTCTGATTATGTTAAAGGTCCTTTCAGGATGCATCAATAATATTCATTAAGATTTGATAACACTAAGATTTTTAAATGTCAACATACCTCTATCAACCACTGACACAACTCTTTAAAGCAGAGAGTAGCATCCCTTTCCATGATCTTCTTAATGATCACCACATTCACTGGACGTTTCTCCCATTCCAGAAAATGTTCTGATGGATCCACAGCCTGATTGCTAAAGAACATTACAATAAAGCACTTTAAAACACACTCTGAAAGTGTTCTTTAATATTAAGTTTTTAAAAAAAAAGAGGGTAGCACTTAATAGCCAGTATGACAAATTTGTGGCCCTTGTTGAACCATGATTAAACATATTACATATAATAAATACATACATAATGGCTGGGAATGGACGGGTCGTCCTTCACGAATTTGCAAGATGTGATCCTATTGGAGGGCACACATGTGTAGAACAATAGAAAACAATGACCTTTCCCCAACCCCGCCCCTAAACCTAACCAATCACAGGGGACGTTGCAAATTCGTGAAGCCTAACCCAGATGGACTTCCATGTGTGAAGATCGTCCTGGTCATAGACGAGCTGCAGAGCATGGTGATAGTACTCCGGGAGAGATCTCTTGAAGGCAGTCAGTGATGCGTCTCTAACTCGTAGATGTTCTGGTAGAGCATTCCACGTTCTGCATGCTCTAATTAAGAAGGAGCGCTGGTAGGTGACTGTTCTGCATCTTCTCTGAATAAAAGGTACTGYCCTGCTATTACTCGAAGCTCTTGTGGTTCTGTTCCTATCCCTCAAGACTGGTAACACCTCACTTTCTATGTACACCAAGCCATTAATTGCTTTGAAGAAGAAGAAGATGATGTCTAGCATTTCATGCCAATAAGAGATGGGTAACAGATTGGTTAGTTGTAGTCTATCCTTGTACTCCATGTCACAGAGGAATGGGAGTTCGAGTATGTACTTGGTTGCGCGCCGCTGTACACGTTTAACTTGTTTAATGAGCCCAGCAGACTGTCGTGACCAAACCTGAGTGGCATATCCAAGATGGGGGAGTACAATAGCCAAGTACAACGTGCGGCATGTTTGGGCGCTTTTGTTGTCCCTAGAAGATCGGTAGACAAATCYTAGAAGCTTGTTGGATTTGSCGCATTGCTCACTGACATGTTTAGGTCACGTGAGATMACTTGAGATACTGATGCCGAGGTCCCTTTCTGAATCACAACTCTCCAAGTCCGCCTCTTCGATGGAATACGTCGACTGTACAGGGTTTTGTTTGTGTATGATACGCATATACTTGCACTTTGAACGATTGGACCAAGAGGCAAGATGATTCTGATCACTKTGCAAGGTTTGTGAGGTCTGTCTGCAGTGCAGCGCTGTCTGTCATGCAGTCGATCCTCTTGTATATTTTRGTATCGTCAGCGTAACAGGCAATGCTTGATGAATTGGTAACATCAGGTAAGTCGTCCAGGGTGTCAAAATACTTTCGACTTTCCCTTATCATCCTTTTYGTTTTGGCTCTTAGGTCGCGGTATTTTTCCCTCTGGTGACTTTTTTGGTGATTTTTGGTGATCTTTTAAGCTTCCGACGAACTGCCTCTTTTTTCCTTAAAGTGTGGATGAYGTTTCCAGTGATCCAGGGCGGGCAATTCTTTTCCTTAAGCTTTTTTGTTGGTATGTGATCACTTACTGCAGATAAGAACGCATCTTTCCACCGAAGCCAATCATCATTACCGTCGTCTTGAATAAGGCTGCACAAGTCCAAAGTTCGAAGTGAACGCCGGAGACCGTCGAAATCTCCTCTGCGGTAGTCAAAGACGGTTCGTTTGTGTCTATTCCGAYCTTTAACAGAAGCTTTAACGTCAAATGTGATGGTGCAGTGATCCGCAGTAGACCCGCAGTRACTGGTTGAAGGGTAGACAGATTTTCAACTACTTCTGAGAATAATGGCCGCTTGGAATACTGAGTTAATCTTCTTAACGTTGAGAACATATCTTACTGGTTCGCTGTACTCACTCATAATGTAAGATACCACCTCAACACTTGATAAAATCTGTATTTCCATGTGCTGTCATGTGATATCTTTTAGTCATAGATTAAATTATATATGTTATGCCTCCAAATTGGGATAGGCTTTTAAACCGGGAGACAATCCCCTACTCTTACACRAATAATTCAACAGGTTCTTTTATGTCCCCCATTTACTGTAGGTTAGGAAGGTTTGGGAGACAGTTTTACGGTTTTAAGTCCTTGTCCGAGAAGTCTTAAGCTAACCATTTGAAGATCTTATCACAAAGGCAGTACCTTCTCCTCAGTTATTTTAAGACCCCGAGTGTTGGTCCGGCCGAGGCTTGAACCACGACYTCCCGCACAACAGACCGACGCTCTTACCAACTGAGCTAACCGGGTGGCGACATGAAAGTGGATCATTATAGGATTTTACTAGTGGCTATTCTCCACCTGTAGTCTTCCTCAGCATGAGGTTTACTTTTAATTGAATTTAATTAACTTGAGTTACCAATGGATGTTAGCAGGTGGTTAAACCGCCGAATACTGTACTACATGTAAATTATTTGAATTTATATAATCAGGGTAAGAAACAATTATAAAAACAATATAACATTTTCACAGCTAGGTTGATACAAACCACATGTCGGTATGGCCAGTGCCATCATATAACTGAAATGAATTTGCCATCCAGAAATGTATTGCATAAATTATCCAACAATTAAGGAAAGTGAAAAAATCTATGAATGTGATGTAGATCTATAAAATTATGCCCATTGCCCTTTCGGAATGCATATATGTATGTGCAATATTGTTTGTGTGCATGAACCGAAGAGCAAAACCAATGAAATGAAACTGGTTTGTCAAACAAACCTTGAGTGAATTCCTGAGCCATCTACAAGATCTAAAAGATGTCCTTTGCAACCAAATTTAGGGACAGGATCGGGRGGGTTCAGAAAGGACTTTTTTCTCTGTCTTCCAGGGCTGCATGGAATCCTGTAAGATATAAAGTATATCCAATATTAAAAGACTATTAGTTAATTAGGCAGCCAGTCATGACCTATTATATATACCTCCTTACTACAGTTTTCAATATTCCGGAACTCCCACTATTTTTCAATATTGAGCTTGGTGTGAAATCAAAGGTACCTAATTGATTATTTTTAATTTTGATTGACAGCAGCCAAACATCGCACTTCAGCWAGCAGCTTGCAACTACTGAGTTTGCAGAATATTGAAAACCACAGCAAAATGAGCAGCAACTCCATCCACAGGTAGCCCAAGCTTGGTTTCTGTGGTGTCCTGTTATAAGGAAATGTATGGAGATTCATCAAAAATTTCAATAAAATCATTG